GTTCTTACCAGTTGGCACCGCGCCAAAAAGCAGAAGAACAGCAAAAAAATATTTGTATGTTCAGTAGCTGAATTAACGCTGAACTGATTACAGAAATCCGTAAAACAATGTAATAAGAAAAATAAAATAAAAATTAATTAAAAGAAAGTTTTTAAAATAAAAAGATTTTAAAATTTATTACCGTTAACAATTTGAGGAAAAACTAATACATAATAACGAAACAGCTAATAATAACGAAATAACTAATAATAACAATAAGAAATAACTAAACAGGCCCCCAAAAAATTCTGAAGGAATGAGCGAAGGGGAAATAAAGTTTCACTTTCACAATCTTTGCGGGTGTAATTTTAGTGGGTAGAATGTCCTCTGATCTACTTTTTTTAACCCTTTCGAGCCAACTGTCACATATATGTGATAGCAAGAAACGCGCTCACTTCTTGGCCGACACACCCGCGTGTCAGAGAGTTTTCTCGTTCACCCCCGACCGTCACTTATTTGTGCCAGCGTTTCGGAACGTTTTAAAAAATTAAATTTCTTCCAAAAGATGGCATTGTATGGCAGATACATGTAGATTTGACCTTCTACTCAAGATGAAAGTACATTCACGTGGTATTTAGGGGAAGGAGTGGAGGGGGGGAATGTTTTATTAGGGCTCTTTAAATTAGCACGTGATATTTATTTACAGTAAGTAAGGGAGTTTTTTTTATCTCTCGCTACTTTCGATTTTCGGATTAGTTTTTAGTGGATAATTAGATCTTGTAGGCTTGAATTTTTTTTCTTTTTACCGTTAGAATGTCGAAGCGTCGAAAATTTTTAACTGAGCTGGAAATAGAGGAAATTATGCAAAATATTTAAACTTATTAATATTTATATTACATTTAAACAAGAAATAACTTAAGTAAATAAAGTATCCATAGAAATATATATAAAGCATATGTCACTTAAATACTCTACAGAACAATATTAAACAACGCGCTGATATTTCGGTAATTTCATGGAATTAGGCTTAACATCGAAAAACCCTCCGGCCCTGGGGAGACACACGCTAGAGAGACTGCCGGCCTCAGCGGTAAGCGCGCTTTCGCGCTTTGCGTCGCGAAAGGGTTAA